CCAGGAATGAAGAAGCGTCAAAGGTACAGATTTTAAAAATCCTTGTGTCAGGAAACAGAGACTTCCAGGCTTCTTGGAACTTGTTTATATGAAATTATAGCAATGGTGACAACATGCAAAGACCCATGCAAAGTCAGACAAAAACTCAGCCTAGAAATGGGGAAACGGGCAGGAAGCCCCAACTTTAACTGGGGAACTATTGGCAGCTGATCACTGCTGGAAGAGGGAGAGTTGGTCCTCTTTAAGGGAACAATAGACTGAACAAGCTCCAGTGGATGAACTCATACTGAGGGACATGTGGGTCCATAAACGTGACTCAATAGGCCTTGACATATATGACAGAATGCATGAAATCTGGTGGATGGGCTATGAGGGGTGCAGATAGGGCAGGGGTTCTAAATATGATTAAAATTTGTTATATGAAATGCACAAAATTCAATAATATATATGAAAATGTAAAATACAAAAAGAAAAAAATCTTGTGCCTTCTTCAAACCCAACATCCTCCAAGAATCCTCTCTGAGCTCCTAAAAGATCCATCTTCCAGCCATCTCCCCCAAGAGCCTCCCCTGACTTCTAGAATTGAGGTGGCACCCTGCCTACCACAGGCTACCTTCCACACCCTGCCCACTCACCCAGCCTTACTTAACATTGTATGGGTATTTTAACTGATGCCTATGTCAATTCCTTGCTCATGTTATTGTCTTTCACCACTTGTCAGCTGCCCCAAGAGAGATCTTTGTCTCTTCTTCCCTGCTTATAATCAGCCTGGACTGAATCCTGGTTCAGAGAAGAGGCTCATTAGATTGAAGCTGAATGAACACATGAATAGATGAAGTCAAAAATTTATAAGCTCAGCATATATCCTGGTTAGCTATAACTGTCAGCTTGACACAGCCTAGAGGCATCTAAGTCTCAGTTTGAGGAATTTCTCAGATCAAACCAGTCTGTGAGCATGTCTCTGAGGAAGTTTCTTGATTGCTAGTCAATGTGGGAGAGCCCAGCCCACTGTGGGTGGCACCATTCCCTAGGCAGGTGGTCCTGAGCTGTATAAGAAAGTTAGCTAAGCATGGGCACCTGATGGACCCAGCAAGCAGCATTCCTTCAAGATTTCTGCTTCAAATTCCCTCTCAAGTTCTTGCCCTAACATCCCTCAATGATGAACATGTACATTGAAATAAGCCCTTCCTCCCTAAATTACTTTTGGTCAAAATGTTTTGTCATAGCAACAGAGATGAAATTAGGACAGCATGTCAGAGGTGAATGTGATATTTGAAACATTATTAGTGCTTAGGGCTGTATTTAGATGATGATTTACTTATTATGATCACTTTATTAAAACAGCTCTCCTATGCTTTATTTGTAATAGCCAAAATGTAGAAACAGCTCAGGTATTCATCAACAGGAGAAAGACCAACAAGCTGTGGTATGTCTGTGCAGTGGAAAAACATGCAGCAATAGAAAGGAACAGATGACAAAACACAAATAAAGCCCAAACACAGTGTGCTGAAGGAGGGAAGCCAGACACAAAAGAGTGTACAGTGTCTATTTCCACCGTTCATTTGGCATTCTAGAAGCGGCAAAATCAATCTAGGACGTTAAAAAGAATATTTGCCTTTAGGAGGTGGCTGGAGACAGGAACTGAGTGAGAAGGAGAGGAATGAAGAAACTTCTGGGGTGATGGGAAAGTTCTATCCGTTGACAAAGGGGTGAGAGATACTCATCAAATGGTTCACTTAAGATCTGTACATTTCAGTGGAGATACAATTTTTTTACCTTGTGGAAAATCTTATCAAATATTGAGCTGTAATGACATGCATGCTGAAGTGTTTACAAGGGAATGACTGTAATTTATTTGATGTTGATCCATAAAGTAAGATGAGAACTTTCAGTTTCAGAAAATTGGAGTGGACATCCTTGTCCCAGTCCTCCTGTTAAGTTCCACTAGGGAGTCTGGGTATCATGATGTGAAAAAGAGATACAAGAAGGCTCTGGAAGGCGGGGAGAAGACAAGCTAACCGGTGACCTTGTGGTCAGAGGAGGAGCACAGTGGCACAGTTGTGAGCTCTTTGCATTCTCTTTGTCTCATGTATTACAGACAATGAAATGAAGAAGCAAGATGCCAAAGGAGCGCTAATCCAAGTCCACTTTCTGTAGCCAAAGAACCCAGACATGGATGGTCTCATAAGACTCCACAGCAGCCAAACACTACAGAAAATGCTGCACTCCACCCGTGGGAGGAGCGAAGCAGGGGACCTAGAGTCCCACCGTCACCAGGGTATCATGAAGCACCTCAACTGTTTTGCCCAAGGCTTCCCACACCATCAATGAGAATCAACAAAGGAGCCTAGATTTCAACCCCACACGCCAGAAGGAGACCCCTCTTATGGTGTCAGCAGAAGCTGTGCTGGAACCTGGGCGTTCATCCCATCTGGCACCCAACTTCCCCTGCAGGCGCTCTGCCAGAAAGTCAGCCAAAATGGAAGACAAAACTAAGGTCCCCAAATGTCAAAATTTCAATAGAAAATATGGAAAACCAGAAAAATTTAAAATGGAGTGAAAAAAAGACGACAAATGTTGATAATGAGGTAAAATTATGAAATTATCTGATGAACATTTTAAAACAAGGATCCTGAGAATGCTTCAAATAGCAATGGCAACACTCTTGAAACAAATGAAAAAAATAGGAAAGAGAAAATGGTAACCTTAGGACTGCAAAATGCCAGAAACAAAATCACACACACACACACACACACACACACACACACACACGCATGTATATATGCATATATATATAGAAGGGGAGAGTTTAATTTTTAAACAGAAAAAAACACATTATGGAAAATGGGACAAAAGATGAACACGGCTGACTGCACTGAACATCACAGTGAGTAGCTCTATTGCATGCATTAGGGTGGGGACATAAAACAGAGTACTTGTAATATGCACCGGCAAAGACAGAGAAAAAGCACTTTTCTCTGGCACTAGTGGGCCATAGAAATGATGGAGCTTCATTAACAAAATCTTTTCAAATTCCACTAAAGAATCTGTGTCTTAATTCTACCCACCCTCACCCCCACTTACCTACTTTCTCTCTCTATAGCCAGTGTGTCAAATGCCACCTTCAATAAGAACAAGCAATTGTTTTCACACAACCCAGGCTGGCTCCGGTTTAGAAATCCATCAGACATGAGGTGCTCAATGGTCTGCCCTTCCTTGCTTCCTTTGAGATGGTATGAAAGGCAACACAAGGCCTAACTGAAGGAAAACTAGATTGTAAAGCAGGGTACTATCAGCTATCTTAATTTTTCTTTGAGACAGTGTTTCCCTAAAACCCCAGCTGGCCCAGAACTTACTATGTAGACTAGGTTGACCTCAAATTCACAGAGACCCACCTGCCTCTGCCTTCTGAGTGCTGGGATTAAAGGCATACACCACCATACCCAGCTCAACTATTAGCTATCTACTCAGTTCTTAGAAGACCAAGCAACAGGTGCCTTTCTGATCACCTACAGGCTGCCTACAGGCTGAGGAACAAGTTGGGTGAGGCCCGGAAGGATGCTGCTTCAGTTGATAAGCCAGTACTCTGTGCCAGGAACCCTGTGGTTTGTGTCTTTGGAAGCAGCACTGTATATAAAACTTCTCTCCCAGGGGCCCGGAGGAGGGAGATTCTCCAGGAAGTACTTTGCACCTACAGCAAGGTTTGCTTATTGCCCAATTTCTGAACATGCAACCTGAAACAGCCTGGTCTGTGTGTTCCATCTCAAGCCAGCTAGTTTGCCCTCTTAAAACTTCACACTGTCCAGTGCTGTGCCTGTCTCCTTTGGCTTCTCACCTTAAAGATTAGGAATGGAGGGGACCTCCTGGCTGGGATGAGAGAAGGGGCCTACAGGTGTTCTGGCTGTGGCCACTGTGCTGTGCGATCCAGCTGGAGCTCAGCTTCATAGTGAACTTGACCTTGGGCAAGCTCTAGACACTGGCAAAGTCAGGCTGCAGACTTAACTTCACTTTGTTTTTGCTTTGTGCTTTTGATTTTTGAGACAGGGTCTCCCTATAGCCCCAGCTGGCCTGGACCTTGGCCTGGATCGCACAGAGATCTGCCTGCCCTGACTCCCATGTGCTGGGATTAAACTCATGTGCCACCACTCCTAGTATAGCTTTACTTTGGAGTGGAAAGCATTGTCTTTTGCTTTCCTAGAACAATCTGTGGAGAAGCTAGTGGGAAGTTTCAGTCACTCTGAAATGTCCAGCAAAATCTCTCTGGAGCCAGAATCAATCAATGCAGAAAAGACAGGCCAATTTTTTTTCTAAGCTAAGAATCAGTTCATAATAAACAGAGCTGTCAGTCTAGAAGCCCCCTGAGTCCAAGGCTCTACTGCAATGCTGATTATTTTTAGCACTGGTTCTCTGAGAGTCCAGCTGACCAGCTTGCGCAGACTCCTGCTGGCCTTGGTGAGCATACTGCTCTGCAGGATCTGATGGACCGCTAGTATGGGTGGAACTGGTACAAGACTCCTAACTGCAGCAGAGAAGCTCCACAGCCCACGCAAGGCCAGCCCTCACTCCTTGTCGAATTTACTTTTAAAATATATACAGTGAGGAATATAGTAAAGATTCATAAATGGAGTCATTTTCTAATAACAAATAAACATCATTAAATTAGTGGAAGAATATTTTGTTTTCTTTTTCAATGATCCATGGCTGAGATGTGTATTAAAATGTGCCCTGTGAAAAGCATCTTATGTATTTCTGTGCTGTACCTCCCTACCTTGCTGAAAGAGGGATTTGCCTCTCTCCAGGCATTGGGGTGTTTGCATCCTTCCTGGGGCTGGCCTGGTGTTTGTCTTGCAGAGCCTTGGGCAGCTTTGGGCTCTGTCCTCTGCTCTGTTCACTACATACAGGGTGCAGAACTAAGGTAGACAGACCCGCATTTCTATGAGTGCATATGGGAGGTCTGGACTCAACTGTACAGGTGGACAATAATAACACGTGTGCCTTACCAGCCTCAGCGTCTCCTTGTGAGCATCTAGTCCTTTAAGGATGAGGAAGGTGTTGGAGCTGCCGACCTGGAGCTTCCTCTCCTCTCCTGCCCTTCACTTTGTTTGGCTGTGAAATAAAGGAAAGAGCACAACCTTTAAGAGTTATGTTTCAAGATTTTTTTTTTCTTTTTGTCTTTAAACTTGGAGTGACCATTGTAAACGTTACCATTTATTTTGAGAGTGTGGGCCCTAGAACGTTTACTGTACTATTCTTTGTATTTTCCTCCATCTTTAAGCTCTCCTGCCTCAATCACAGAGGACTATATGAAATCTGGTCCCTCTCCACTTGGAATTTCTTTGGCTTTCTGTGTAGGCAAATGCTCAGGAAATCCAGTTCCTACCAGTGTCTCTGTTCTTGGTGTTTCTGTTTATCTTTTACATTGGAAATTCACTAAAACCCACAGTGGACCCCCTCTGCCTTTAGTCTAAGGCAGCTGCTTGCTCCCTCAGCTGTTTGGTTTGCTAGTGAGATGGGAGTTTTCTGGGTAAAAGCAGGTGAGCCCAGGATGGTGTCATTTCCAAGGTTAGATTCAATTCCCAAGCCTCTGCTCAACGCTCAACAACTCCACCTGTACCAACCAGAAGCAAACACCTGTAAGAAGAGAAATTACTTTCTGTAGCTATTAAAAGTTGACTTGCTATTATGAAAATCCAAATGTCCTTGGGCTTGACAAAAACGCATTACTAGAGAAAACCCACTGTGCCATTTCCTCTCTTCTTCACTTAGAAACAGCCAAACTAAATTAAGTAACAACAACAACAAAAGGTTGTTTCCCACAGGGTTTGCCCAGCTTTTACCACCAGTGTTCAGCCTGAACCAATTTTCATGCTTGAGTTATTAACTTATGAAAATAGGCACAAAAGGGGGGAAAATGCGCACAGATCCTCGGCTGTGTTATTAGTCATCGCTCCGGCTGAGTGGGTTCCGGCACAAAGGCATCTTATTCTGCTTGTCAGTATTTCAGTGTGGAACAAAATGTAGCTAGCTCACTAATGGGTTCTGCCTCATATACCTTTCTGTAATCATGACGTTGCCATTCTCTGTAATTTATCCTGTTTTTCATGAGTGTGTGCATTAGTCAGGCGCACACACGTCTTGTAAGTCCCCTTTCATTTGTGACTGAAAAGAAAGGTCACGAAGCTGCCAGTCACTTGGGGAAGCACCCATAATGCACCCATTATGCATTGATCGCAGCAGTATTTGGAAATAGTAGCAGATGACTGTGAAGAGATTCTGAAAACCTTGTGAATTGGGACAGTGACTTAAGTGATGAAGGGAACCTGGAAGCAGTCTGGAGAAGACGGAATGGAGGTGGAATCGTCTACCCACCTCATCTTGGTCTCTGTTTGGGACTCCTGATGGATTACATCTCCCCCAGCCAATCAGAGATGCCTACTCATGAGCTGAGTGGTTTCAAAGTTTCCCACTTGAATTCTGTACCACCAGCTTTAGCCTTATTTTCTTTTAGGGGGGTAGTTTCTGACTTGGGCTCAGAAGTGTTGCTCCAGGGCTGGGGAGATGATTCAGTGAATAAAGTGCTTGAACCTCAAGCATGAGAAACGCAGTTCAGATCTCCAGCACCCATATAAAAAGCCAGATGTGGCAATGGCAAACAACCAGCACTGACCTCTAGCCCTTACAGGTACATGCACAGACACACATAGTCAAGTACATACACCCCACTTATGTGTACATGCACGCATACACACAATTTTTGGAAAAAAAAAAAAAGGAGAAGTGCTGCCCTATACTAGTTTGACAAGTATACAGAGGAACTGAGTAACATTGTGCTTCTGGAAACTCCAGAGCTGGTTATAGAACTCAAGACCTGTGTTTACTTTGGGGGAAAAAATACAGCCAAATTTGCCAGGAAGAAAAGTATTAAGGCAAAAGGAATCGAGAAGAGACACGAAAAGCTGGAACACATTCAAGATTTAACAAACCAAATCTAAATTGCTAGAACCAGCTGCTAAACAAGTTATAGGTCTACATGGGGCCTGGACACTTGCATGCAGGTCCGTTGGGGCAGGAGCTCTCAAAGAATCTCAGCCAGAGGGAGACCATGAAGTCCCCTCCTCCATCAGGATAACAACGCTCCCCATCAAATCCTTTCCTGGCCAGCCAGCAGCAATTGTGAACCGAATGTGGCCTTGCGTCTTCTTGGAAATATTAATGGATGCTTTGATTTTGTTCTTTCTTTTTCATTAAGACAAAGAATGTTACAATTTGCTCAAGGAAGCTGATCTAACCTCCTAAGCCACACTTCTTTCTAAGCCTAGCTGAGCTCAAACCTTTCTAAGGGCCCCTCTCCTGTTAGCTGACCTAGAGCCCTCCCTGCCTTCCCTAGTTCAGACTCAGCCTCAGGGGCTCCTCTGGGCCTTTCACTGCTCTTAGAGCCCAGTATACACCACCCCAGGGTCCACTGACACAGAAACAAAGGTGTTTATGGTTATCCTCAACCTTAGATGTCGTGCTAGATACTAAGAAACAGGTGCATTAAATTTCCAAGATAGTGTATGCTCAAGAGGCCAACAGGCTTCACAGAATTTAGAAAGTCAGCACCCCCAAAAGATCTTTACAAGCTGTACAGCCCAATCATGTCCTTATACTCCCTGTGTGTGTGTATGTGTGTGTGTGTATGTGTATGTGTAGTGTGTAGTGTGTGTGCATACATGGGGATGTGCGTGTGCATATGTGTATACATGTATGTGTTTGTATAGACCAGACGTCAACCACGGGTGCTGCTCCTCAGACACTGCCTGCTTTGTGTCTGTCCTTTCTTATATGGCGTATTTCACTTAGCAGAATGCCTTCCATCTCATCTGCACCATACCTTGGGTTAGTTTCCCTTCTCTGTAAGGCTGAAATATTTATGTACACTTCAGGTTGTCCAACTGTCGCTGGACATACGAGTTGCTTCCACCGTTTGGCTAAATGAATAATGTGGTGCACATGAGTGTGCACACAATTCCTGGAAGCAGGAAAGATGCTGACTTTGGTTCTTTTGGATATACGCTCAGAAGTGGAATTCCTGGGGCCTCTGGGAATTCTATTTTTGCTTTTTTGAGGAACTGCCACAAAGCTTCTCATAGCGGCTTTAACACTTCACTTTGCATGGCCGCTGACAGTGCGCACCTGTCCAACTTTACATCTCTCCAACACTTGGTAGTTTGCTTTATTTTTTTATGTATCAGGCAGCTTGATGGGTATGAAGGACAGTTATTGTTGTTTCTACTTGCATTTCCCTGCTTACAAGTGATTTGGGGCAGTTTTTCACAGCCTGATGGCCTATGTATACCCTCTTTGAAGAAATGGCTATTTAAGTCTTTCACCCATTTGCATTTTTGTTGTTGGGTTATAGAAGTTCTTTTCTCCCCTTCCTTCTGAGAAAGTCAAAGGTCAAAGAGATAGAGAACTTTCTCAAGCCTTCAGACAAGGAACACGTAGTCTCGGGTAGCAGAGAAGGGCCGATGCAGAGAACAGCTAGCAGGCTTGGTGCATTCTCCCAGCCAACGCTGTCCATCAAACGCATCCCGTGGGTGCATAGCCTCAAGTGCCAGATTGCTGTTTGAAAACCATTGGCAAACTCTGGCTGCAGAGAGCCCAGAAGCATGTAATATCCACTCTAATGATGGTTCCCCTCTCTTATTCTTTCCTCCCTTTAAGGAAAGGGAGAAAGCAAACGCTGTTGATGGAAAAACACATTTAAATGGATCAGCACTGGGCAGCCATGTGCACATCTGTTCTTAACAGGTTTCAGCTGAAAATACCTAGAGCTGTTTATGTGGAACTAGTTAAATATGATAAGATTACAACTTGGAGGGTAATGATGGAGTTGGGAGTGGAAAGGAAAAAGGGGGGAAAAAACCCGTCCACACTTGGTCTATGTACACACTTCTCACATTTTACCACAGATGTGTTGATTGAGCTGGATTTGCTATGAATCTAAAAGGCCTGAATTATTCAAGATTAGTTACAAACAGACTCAAGATGTTCCTGCAGCCTTTCTACTGCACAGTACCCCCGCCTCGCCTCCATGTGAGCGCAGTACTTCAGGATCTGAAAGGAGACTTTGACTGGGAACTCACTCATATTTGAGGATTCTGCTCAGGAGGAAGACAGTGCTTGAACTGTGCCAGCCCCTCGCTCATAGAGGACATAGAACTTTTTGCATAAACAGCTTAAAAAGAAGGAAGATTCCTTTCGGATCACGGTTTCAGAGGTTATGATGGATTTCATGTATTGGTTCTAGGTCTGTGGTAAGAATATCAAGGTGGTGGGACCAGGTGATAGAGGCTGCTCACCTCACAGCAGATAGGAAGCAAGGGTTGGGCAGGCCCAAGACACAGCCCCAAGGACAAGACCCTCGTGATCAACTTTCTACAACTAGGACCTATCTCTGAAAGTTCCCTTCCCCTCCACTAATGGCATCAAATTCTGCACCCATCCATCAGCCTTACACTCATGGATGAAGTCAGAGTACTCAGCCATCTAATAATCTCTCGATGATTATATTCACCAGCTGGGGACCAGGCCTGCAACAGAGGAGAGTTCTGGGGAACATTTCATACTCAAACCATAACAGACACTCAAGTCCCCTAAGAAGTGTAGACGTGTGCCAAGGACCACTTTCTGTAGGCACTATGCTCTCCTGGGGGTCTTTTACAACTACATGCTAAAATCACTCTGTAAACCACAGCACTGAGCTGAGCAAACTAAGGCTCTGGGGTCTAGGATGATATTCTTAGGGACTTAGTGCTCTAGAGGAGAACAATTCTTCCGTCTACCTAACTATCCCTTGAAGTCAGGCTGTGACTTACATCCTCACAGGACCCAGCAGGAATGCAAGGAATCAGGAATGGTAGACAGCTAATAAGCAGATTGATTCTGGAGGAAATAGACACCATGGACCCAGATTTTCTGATGCCCTAGTGAGACAGAAATCACCAGAGTTTTTACATGATGACTCAGTTATTGGAGCCAAATGAAAACCATGCCCTTCTGTGGTTTGTTGGCCCCTTGTGGGTACGTTGGTGTCCAGAGGTAGGAGGAAAGGGCCGCACTGG